CACAAGGTTTAGGAGTGTGTTTATGGGAATTTTTGACCATTCTTCCAGAAGCGCATTTGTGAGGTCGCACACTGATGTTGGACGAGAAGGCCTGGCTCTCAGTCTCCGCTCTAATTCATCCCAAAGGTGTTCTATCGGGTTGAGGTCAGGACTCTGTGCAGGCCAGTCAAGTTCATCCACACCAGACTCTGTCATCCATGTCTTTATGGACCTTGCTTTGTGCACTGGTGCACAGTCATGTTGGAAGAGGAAGGGGCCAGCTCCAAACTGTTCCCACAAAGTTGGGAGCATGGAATTGTCCAAAATGTCTTGGTATGCTGAAGCATTCAGAGTTCCTTTCACTGGAACTAAGGGGCCAAGCCCAGCTCCTGAAAAACAACCCCACACCATAATCCCCCCTCCACCAAACTTTACACTTGGCACAATGCAGTCAGACAAGTACCGTTCTCCTGGCAACCGCCAAACCCAGACCCGTCCATCAGATTGCCAGATGGAGAAGCGCGATTCGTCACTCCAGAGAACGCGTCTCCACTGCTCTAGAGTCCAGTGGCGGCGTGCTTTACACCACCGCATCCGACGCTTTGCATTGCACTTGGTGATGTATGGCTTGGATGCAGCTGCTCGACCATGGAAACCCATTCCGTGAAGCTCTCTGCGCACTGTTCTTGAGCTAATCTGAAGGCCACATGAAGTTTGGAGGTCTGTAGTGATTGACTCTGCAGAAAGTTGGCGACCTCTTCGCACTATGCGCGTCAGCATCCGCTGACCCCGCTCCGTCAGTTTACGTGGCCTACCACTTCGTGGCTGAGTTGCTGTCGTTCCCAAACACTTCCATTTTCTTATAATACAGCTGACAGTTGACTGTGGAATATTTAGGAGCGAGGAAATTTCACGACTGGATTTGTTGCACAGGTGGCATCCTATCACAGTTCCACGCTGGAATTCACTGAGCTCCTGAGAGCGACCCATTCTTTCACAAATGTTTGTAAAAACAGTCTGCATGCCTAGGTGCTTGAATTTATACACCTGTGGCCATGGAAGTGATTGGAACACCTGATTCCAATAATTTGGATGGGTGAGCAAATACTTTTGGCAATATAGTGTATAATGTTGATCCACAATCTTGTTGGAAGTTTCAATTGAAACAAAGCGATCAAGTTTCATAGACGTAGAAGTCGTTGAAGCAGGCTGCTTTCTTTTCAGCCGTTCGATTGCACAACCTGAAGGAGGAAACCTGCAGCCTATGAGCATGTTGGACGTTTTTTTTAGCCGCATCCTCGCAGCGCTGCAGCTAGATCCAACCTATAATCAACATTCTTTCAACATAAAGGCAGAGGATCACTGAGAGGAACACATGCCAGGACAACTTAAGAACACTGCTAGCGTAAAAGGCTGAGATATTTGACAGCAATATAAGCCAGATTGTTTGAACACAGGCAGTACAAAAAAAAAATGCATGTTTGAAAGGAAAAGCGTTCTGTCACCAGAAAGAATGTTTTTTTTTTAGATTGTTGCACACATCTGTCTTTTATTTTCTATTTTTTTCCTCTGGAAAATCTGACCTGCATTTGTCTTCCAAGTTATCCCCTAAAGTCAGCTCTAATCTTTCTCCTTTGACTCTTTTTTAATGCTCATATCCCCTCCCTGCAAGGCAACAGTGGGTCAGAATCTTCTCAAGGTCTCACCAGTGGATTTCTTTGAACCCCTGACGAAAACAGCAAAAACTGATTTCTGTGATAACATCTCAGCTAGAGACATTGTCTGATCTACAGCAGAAAGTCGGGGTTACACGTTGGGCCACTTTTTTCTAATCTTTTTTTCTTCTGTAGTGCATATTTTGCCTGTGCATGAATGCAAGTAGAACGAGGCTTAGTAAGACCAAACCTAATAAAACAGAGTTTTAAATTCCAAGAAGATGGATTGTTTTGTTTGTCTATCAATGAATTTCTCTGTGCAGAAACTGGCCAACTATATAATCATGTCAATTTTCAGAAAATCTTGTTAGCAGCGCACTGATCAAGTGTAATGCCACCGTCTGGGGGAAGATCCCAGGATATTTATAGTTGGAAGAATTTCTAACAGAGTTAATATAATTTAGCGCAACATTCAGAGAGGCTTTGATCCAAAGAAAACCCAATTTTATTACATTTTTATCGTTTCTATTCAGAGGGTTTTTGTGTTTCTGTACGGATGGCAGTGGGAGCAGCTCGTTTATAAACAGTAAACTTCAAGAGATTATTCGCCGCGCAACAAATCCAAGACAAGAAGAAGAACATTCTTTGATTAATTTATAACTATAAATCCTAAGTAAGAGCCTTCAGGCTTAAAAAAAAAAAAAAAGAAAGAAAATTACAGACAAGATTTTGTCTAGGGCTGCCTTTTACAAAGAGAGACATGAGAGCAGGTAAAAACCTTGAAAGCATGCTAGCAGACGTTACTTCCCCACCCGAGGGCATGTCTGGCTCTTTTTTTGTTCTCAGTGACTCAAGGAGGGACAGCGGTTGCATCTAAATGACTAAATCACAAAGGCATGTAAACCTCAGGTAGGCGCTGGTATTACTACAGACTGTAAACCTTCCTCTCTTTAAGTGTTTCAAAACACCTGGTTCATCATAAAAGGATTATTGGTCGGAAAATCAGTGTGTTGATAAACAAGACGAAACGTTGACGGAAATTGCTGCATAAATTGCTGTCAATAATACCTAATCTAATTTTGTGGTTTTTTTTGGAGAAAATTTCTCTAAAATGTTCTATTGGAGAAGTTTTACAACCTTGGTATAATAATGGTCAGTTTTCTGAGGTTTTTATTTTATCATAGTTATCAACTGATATTAAGAAATAATGTTGTGATAAAGGTTTGGTGATATGGTCGAGCTACATTTGAATATTTTCAAGGAACGGGCATCAAACACAGATGTGCATTTGCCATTGTCAGAGTCCAAATGTTCTGATGCAAGCATCCCTTCTGCAGGGTTGAAAGAAATAACAACCCAACGACAATCTGGGTTGGATCTCGGTTGCTGTTTCTTGAGGTTAAAAATGTTTTTGCAACATCTTATGAGTCTAGTGCAATAGATGTTCAAAGTTGCATGGGCCAGACTGGTGCAGAGTGATAAGCCTAAACAGCAGTGTCTTAACAGGAGGGCTTCAACTAACCATCATTTTGTTCGTCAATTATTTATTCGATTGATCGATTAATAATCGGATGGCAAACAATTCCTTAAAAGAGATTTTTTTTTTTACAGAATTTAAACAAAGTTGAGCTAAAACTTTTCCCCCTGAGTTCTGGATAGAGGATATTAATGGACGAAAGTTTTTTTTTTTTTTCATCTTAAGTGCAAAATGTTTATATTAGAGCTGCAACTAATGATTATTTTGCAAGTCGATTAATATCTTGATTATTTTTTCCATAAATAATGGGATAGTCAAAGATTTTATTGATTGAGATATTATGAAATTAAACCAGGGGAAACTAAAACTTTTCCACTAGAGTAGTTCTGGCATATTGACAGACGAAAACATCTTTTTTTTATCGTGAATGAATAATGTTTATATATTTTCTACACTTTTGGTACAATTGCTGCACTAATTGTCAGGTAAAGGCGTGTTTTAGAGACTATACACCCCAGTTAACACTTAATCAATTGCTAAATTAGTTGACTACTATGTAAATAATTAATAAATCTGATTAAATGTTTCAAAGTAATTACCCAAATATATTATAAACAACAAATAACATGATTCAATCGATTTTTTTTTAAAGCAGAAAATCAACCATTTTAAAGGCAGCTAAAATATTGCAAAATAGTTATTGTTAGTATATATAATGTTATTAAAAACTTGTGCGAATTGGTTTTGTTACAGACCTAAGCAAAAGTTTGGAATAAGTGTCAATGAATATGTAGCATCTTCCTGCTCTTTGTTTAGTTTTCAGACCACAATAATCATCAAGCAGGAAATTGTAGTAGCGTTCTTTCTTCCAGCTGACAAGCAGTGTGCAGCTGCAGGTCAAGAAGGGAGACATTCTATTAGACTCAACAAAACCAGAGGAAAGGTTCATAAACATTAAGAGTAAAAAAGTAGTCTTTGCATTTTGGTAATGGTAATCTTTTCAATCCTGCAGGGGAAAACAACTAATTAATAAACAATACAAGATTTTCTTTTTTCCTCAGTGCATCACTGTTAATTGACTGTTAAGGACTCAATGAACCAGTTAGTGGACTTTGATTTAATGCAGTCATAAAGCAAAACTTTTAACCTTTCTCCAGGGGGGGGAAAAAAAGTATTGACCTAAATCTGAACTTTGGAAGAGTCCAGTCAAAATGCCAAGGGTCTAAATTTGAACTTGCTAATGACAAAGAAAGACAGACATGGACAGTAAGGACTGCAGTGGACATAATGTTGAAGAATGAAACCAAGTATCTGCTTCCTCAAAAAAAAAAAAAAAAAAAAAAAAAAAAAAAGAGTGAAAAAAAATCCAACTGCATTAAATATATATAAAAAAACAACACATTATTGAGGAGGATCAAACTTGATGCTTAGCTTGACATGAGTGTTGCGTCATCACCATGGTGACAGCACACAATTCTGCGCCAAATTGCAAAAAAAAATTGAAAACAAAAATTTAACAGACTAAAAACTAACAAAGATGTTTCCATATTTAGAGCTGCCGTATAGAGTTTCTTTGCAGATGCTACACTAAAAATAGCTACGTTTTTAACATGCTCTTTTCTCATAGCAGAAATGTAAAATATTTTTGTTTGTTTTTCTTGCTAAAACATCTGCGTAACCAGCTGCGTGCAGGAGGGGAGACCCTTTAAACTGTATAGGCGAGCACATTTCTCTGCGAACTTTGCGAGAGAGAAAAAACATGTGACATTTTCCTCCACTTTAAATAGCGCAGCTACTTGTTTTAAACTTAAAAAAAAAGCTGCAAAACTCCTCATGCAGATTAAAGGGAAGAATGCAGGTTAAAATAAAGGTCTGCGATGCGTACTCACGTTCTCCGTTATCTTGGACGGGCACCCACCGCAGCACGACGACTAACAACCAAGTTGGACTTCGCATAACGGAAATGTGCTGGGAGGCAAGTATGCTAGCATCTAGGCGCTGAGCTGGAGCACAACTAAGTGGACTTGAGAGGGAAAAGTTCGCGTTGAAAAGCCCCTTGCTTTCTCTGTCATTGTGTCCGCATGCGGTTGCTCTTCCACGACAGTAAAAAGAGGAAAAGAAAACTTTCAGCCACGAAGTTGATGCTCATTTCCGCCGCGTGATAAAAAAATGCCGCGGTCCAAAGCGGTGAGGGGAAACAGTCAAGATGGACCAGATGTACGGTACTCATTCCGGAAGCTTTTCAAAATAAAAGAATTAAAGCTTAAAGGAATAGTACACCCAAAAACCGCGGCAGACCAAACCAGATGAAAGTGCGCATTCAGCTCGGCAAAGAACTCGTGCTCTTCCTCAACACTGAATTCCTCAGACATTTTTCTTTCGTTGTTTCTTTCTTTGCACAGGTAAACAGCACATTTTTTCTTCTACGCTTGCATTATCGGCAGAGCAGACGCTGAATGCGCACTTTCGTCTGGTTTGGTCTGCCGCGGCTTCCGTAGACTCGTGAACGCGCTTTTAGGAAATCCTATACACTACTGTTTATGCTCTAAAAACATTCTAAATGAGTTTGTTTCGAGTAAATTCTGGATGCTACCCACTCAGGACACTTGGAATACATTGGACGAGCAGTATGGAGGAATATTGACACGTTTTTTGTGGACTTTTATGGACCTTTCTGCCTCGGGCACCACAGACCTCCATTATTTGAATGTCAGCAGACAGCAAGAAGCCTCCCAGATCTCCAGATGCATTTGAGATATCAAAAAAGTACTCCAGAGTGTAGTTCAGCATGGGGGTGAGTAGAAAATGAAGGCTAATCATGTTTTGGGTGTACTATTCCTTTAAGTCTCATTAGTTAAGGTTAGAGTCATCAGTGTGTGTTTGTCTGTGTCTGAATTTAGCTATATTTGTCTACATATAACTAACTTCAGCGTGTTTGACCATCCGATCCCAGACCCAATTCTATTCAGTTTATTTATATAGTGCCAATTCACAACAGATATCACTTTACAGTTCACCAGATAATACAATCAAATTGATTCAAAGTTTTCTATCTAAGGAAAACCAGATGATTGCATCAACTCGTTGACTCAAATGCAATCCCTCACACTAAGCATGCTTGTAGCGGCAGTGGAGAGGAAAAACTCCCTTTTAACAGGAAGAAACCTCCAGCAGAACCAGGCTCAGTGTGAGCGGCCATCTGCCGAGGCTGACTGGGGTTCAAGGAGACAGAAGCAGAGATACGAAAGGCGACTGTAAAAGGCGGCGCCGTCAAGGAAACACACAGCCAAGAAGAGGGGTTCCGAGCCAGCTTCCATGTCAGAGGATGAAGAGAGCACATCCAGCCAGTCACAGTCAGAGAAACAGGACTACACTGGAAAACAGGCCTGCGATGGGACTGGCGACCTGTCCAGGGTGTACCCTGCCTCTCGCCCATTGACAGCTGGAGATAGGCACTAGCACCCCTCGCGACCCCACTTGGGATTAAACGTGTTCGAAAATGGATGGATGGATGGATGGATGGATGGAAAACAGGCCGATCTCCAACATCTATAAACAAGAGTGTTGATGGCAGCAGCATAGCTGATATTTCTCTCCAGGATGGTGTCACAGACAAACAGGACCAGATGAGGTGAAGCTACTATGAGAAAAAGCAGAGAGAGCAGAACGTTAGAGATTGAACAGATTCTGCAGAGTGGGAGAGTAGAGATAGAATGAAGCAGAATGATGAAATAGGGGTCCCTATGTCCTCCAGAAGTCTTAGCCTATAGCATCATAACTATAGAGATAGCTCAGGATAACCTGAGCCACTCTAACTATAAGCTTTATCGTTAGTGTAAGCTGGTGAGTGTGGCACTCCCAGAGCAGTTGCAAAAAAAAAAAAGTTAAATAAAGTTAGCTTCTCAAGAGTGACAGCGGTGACAGCAAATCACACAAAAAAAGACAATGGGCTAATCAGGACCTTTGGGAGTCAGGGCTCATCTTGAGCTTCAGTTTTCCTCTTGGTCCTAGTGCTCAACGACTGTCTGTGTACTGTAGCGCCACATTGTTTTTGGACAAAACGTGTAGGGGACCAAAACGGACATTTGAAAAAGTACAGGGGACATGTCCCCCTCTGTCCCCCCCAAATAATTACATCCATGTAATCAGCAGTACATTTACACATAAAGAAAAGGTAAAGAAATATACATTGAAGTAACTTTCTACTGCAGTGAAATGAAATGTTAGCAAATAGATGTCAGTGCCTGATTTATGTTGGGGTTTTAATGAAAACAGCTTCAAATGTAGGTATTTCTGGGTTCCAGGTTGGACGTTTGTCATCTTGCTTGGTCTCTTCTGGGGTTCCTGTCTTCAAATTCCAACATGGCTCAAAGAAGGTAGTGGTAGAGCTGTAATTATAAAACAGTTCTTACCAACTGGTGATGATCAAGTGACACAGTGAAATTAATTCATTTTAGCTCTACTATTGCAACATGGCAACTAATCCTGTCAGCTTCAAATTGTTTTAGAGCTTTCGGGTTGGACCAAAGGAAGAGTAATCAAAAGTTAGCATATAGTTTTAGTTAATAAAGCTGGAAACCAACAATCAGGCTTTGGGTCTAGTGTTGGACTTAGACCTGAACCTTCAGAGCCACATAAAGACAGCGACACGGTCAGCCTTCCTCCACCTAAAGAACATCTTCAGTATTAAAGGACTAATGTCTCAGCAGGACCTTGGGAAAACTGTCATGCATTTATCTTTAATAGAAAAGAATACTATCAGGCAGCGTCAGCCGATCCAGAAAGCTGCTGCTAGCGCCCTCATCAAAGCTGACAAAGTAGAAAACATCACCTCAGTTCTAAATTCCTTACACTGGCTCCCCTTTAACTCAGAAAATAGACTCTAAAATACTTCTGGTAGTCTATAAATCATTGAATAGCTTTGCACCAAAATACTTTTTGTCAGTTTATCGGCGGTCTACTCAGGTCTTCTGGCTCAAATCTACTCTGCATACCCAGATCCAGAACCAAATGTAGAGAAGCAGCTTTTAGTTATTATGCTTCACTAATTTGGAGAAAAACTTCCGGGAAACTGTAAACATATTATTTGTTTTGTATTGCCTTTAATCGTGCTATCTAAATTTTATCAGTTCATGTTTAAGTCAAATTTTCTCCTTATTTTTTTTATGAATAATTTTGTGTATTATATATGGTGATCTTGTTTGATTATTGTACAATACTTTGAATTGCATATATATAAACTGGCTTACAGTGAGAGATACCTGCAATGTGGAGGTTGTGAAAGCAATCTGTGAATCAAAAAATGCAGCTTCTCTGCAAACGAGAGAAAAAGTTTTGATTTACCAGTTTCAATAGCATTACTCATTATCATTGATGCATTAACACATGAGTAACATGCAACATTAGTAATATACTGAAATACTTTCATATTATGTTAAACTGTTTATTTTACTATGTAATAATTGAATCTATGATCTGGAGCACAGGACTGGATGTCTGGTCTTTCATCCTGAACTTTTTTACCTCTGTAACTTGGTGTAAAATAAAGAGGAAGCCTTACTTTAAAAGTATTTCTTTACAGCAGCTTCCATTACATTTGAATAGAGTTAAGATGTTTGACAAATCAATAGTCAGATTTAGGTATTAGTGAAAAAAGATTGGACTGGGAGGTAGTAATGTGTGTTTAAGTGTGTTCCTATAGCTGTTTTTTCACAGCAATGGGGGGAAAGTCGTCTTTAAGTCCAATGATGCAAATTTGCATGACATTTAGTCCGTAAAAGAGAGAGAGCTCTAGGTGTGGGAAGCCAAATATCCACTGAGCAGACCTGCTGCAGTTGTAGTTGATAAATACAACACAGTAGCATGATGGATTGCATTAGTTTTTATTGATGCTTTAAAAAAAACATTCAAGCTGTTTTGATTGGAGAAGTTTGCTAAACATTACCGTCAAAACTGGTGGTTTTATTTTGAAATTCCCTGACAGGAAGAAGCTCTTCTATGCTTTGCTCTGACTGCAGCCTGGAGTTTTAGGAATGGAATGTGCAAGATGAAGAAAGTATTCCAACTTTAGAGAAAAAAAGAAAAAGAAAAAAACCATCAACAGCACTGTATTTTTAAGAAGTTTATCCGTTTAGGGGGGTTATTTCTATGTATGCATATGGATAAAAAAAAATCTTATTTTTATGACCTAAAATTCATTTTAGGGTGAAGCTGAAGCTTTAAGGATGACATAACAAACAAGTCAACCCGCTCAAACTCAGGGAGGGTGTAGAATCTCTATCAGCTTATGCAACTTGTCATGTGTACCCCTCCCCGACATACACAACACACTAATGTGCAATGGAGGGCCACTTATATTCAAGTATGCACCTTTGATATTACAATTAAAGCACATTTCAAAGCCTTGACCCAGATCAGCTCTTTAATGTCAACTTTCCCCCCCCACTTCCATTCTTTTATACTGTTTGGACAGATGGTTTACAGGTTACCTTTATGAGCAGAAGTGTCAATTACAAGATGGTGTAAAACAGTTGCACAGTGACACCTGGTGAAAGACAAGCAGCAGAGCATCAAGCATGTGTGCATTATTTCACCAGGAGAAACTACTCTAAACTCACCAAATTTTATATCTGAACACAAGAACCCTGCTCAAGCAGGGTTTCTGTTAACGTACAGAAAAAAAATGATAAAACATGCTTCTTTGCAGTAAATAAACTGTTTTTGACAAGGGGTCCATTTACAGCCCCTTAGAATAATTTAGTGCAGTCCCTGCCGGCAGATCAATAATGGTAGAAATTATGAACTCCAGCAAAAAACAGCCACAAGTATGACACTTTTAAAGACAAATTTCTATCTTTTGAAATGGAAAATGTGGGTTATGACATATAGTACATTTCTGTAATTAGCTTTTTTTTTTCTTACATTCTAATTTCATAGCAAGGATGGTCGGAAGTAAAGAGCGACTTCTTAGTGAAAAAAATGCAAACTTCCTTTCCTTTAAACTAATATGTAAGAGGATTAGGGCCACTGAAAAAAAAAAAAAAGTTAACTGATTTTTAAATATTATTTCAATTTAATATGAGAAAAAAGTCAGAATTCTGACATTTTTCACAGAATTTTGACTTTAATCTCAGAATTCTAACTTTTTTCTTATAATTCTGACTTTAAACTCAGAATTTTGGATCTTAATGTAGATGGGCACCATGAAGGAAGAGATCTGGGAGCACTCAGCTTCACTGATATTTGAGTTGTTTGAGAGGGCCAGTGACACATTGGTGAAAAATGACGGAATTAGGTGACTTTTTACGTGCCAGAGGGGTCCCCAGTAATTCTATTTCATTAATGGAAGAGCAGAAGGTGATTAAAACAAGAGGGCTACCAGTAGTTTAGTCTCTAAAACAGACATGGCTATGGCTTGATGCTAACATGTTTGATAGCTGTCAGAATTCAGTCAGAATTCTGAGATAAAACTCAGAATTCTGAGATTAAAGTCATAATTCTGAGAAAAAAGTCAGAATTCCGAGATTAAAGTCATAATTCTGACTTTTTTTCTCATATCATACTGAAATAAAATTTAAAAATCAGTTAGCTTTTTTTTATTTTTCAGTGGCCCTAATCCTCTTCCATAAACTAGGCTAGAAACAGAAATAATTTTTTTTAAGGCACTAGTGGTTCTTTTTTTCGAGGGTAGGCTGACAGGAAAGGGGCTATGATATAGGGGGAGAGATATGCAGCAAAAGACCACAGGTAGGATTCGAACCCGGGTCAGCCTCGTCGAGGTCTAAGGCCTCCATACATGGGTTTTGCACGCAAACCACTGCAAGTTCAACTTTATTTTTTCTGTTATAGCTTTTTTTTTCTTTCTAAAATTTAAGTAAAACATTTTATGGACCAGCAAGGTAGAAAACATTTGATCTAAACCAGGGGTCTTCAAGGTTTTCCAGGCCAAGGACCCCCAAACTGATGGCCAGATCGAGCGAGGGACCCCCTATTTATATATATTGCATGAAATTGCGTAATATCAAACTGGTCCTATAGTCAGTCTATTTCATATAGTGTCATGTAACGATAGTAATTTCCCCCTGGGATTATTAAAGTCTGATTCTGATTCCTTGTTGATGGGAGAGGTGTTGTGAATGAAACGGTGCCCAGCTTGAAAGAGCTCCTGTGTGCATTGATGACTGAAAGATATCTTCTGCCTCCATTTATCTGTTTATTACAGTGTGTTGAATTCATGTTAATGTGTATTTTAAGACATTTCAATTAATGGGAAAAAAAATTCCAGGGGGGAATATCAAAAAAAAGTCTAATCAACCAAATCTTTTGCGACCCCCATGCAGTACCTCTGAGGACCCCCTAGGGGTCGCGTACCCCCTGTTGAAGACCTCCGATCTAAACAGTTCTGATATGCAACATTTCATTCAAGAACCAACATATTGTGATATTAAAATGTTGTGTATTCAATCTATTGCTGAACTGGTTAAAAGAAATGGTCACACAATGAAATAAATCTGTTTTTGAAGTTTGGAAAACTACTCTGAATACTTTAAAATTGATACCAAGGTTGGACACCATTCCTTTATAACCACTCTAGCCTAAGATCTGATTTTATGCACTTTAATTATCGTATGTTTAAAACTTTTTTTTAGCTGTAATTACTGAACAAATGTACAATTTTTGAATGAACCACAGAGGGGGGTATTCCTTAAAAATCTCCCCCCAAAATCTTGAATGAATTTTCCTTCTCAGTCCTCTGAAGGCTTCATCTTGTAACCATTGTTTAACTTTCCACAAATCTGCCTGGAGATGGCATTCTGAGCACAGCCAGCTACTCTAGAAAAGACAGTGGTTTACCTTCCCTGTGGACGACTGTCTGCTAAACAACTGTAGAGTCATGACTGTGTAGGCCATCACATCACATTTGTGTAACAGTAATTCCTTCCCCTTCCTTTTAACAGAAAACATTTGCATGTATTACCTCTAAATAAACTTAATCAATGTAAATATAAATATATCACAATTATATTTGGGGAGTTTTTTGTGGTTGAAGGCGAATTAGTCAAAGGTAACTGAAATAACGCCACATTATAAACATATGTCATTTTTCTATTGGATTGTGAAAATATTTAATGTTTAAAATGACATAAAATAAAAACATTTTATTCATTTAAAAAAAAAACCCTCACATCTTGGGTAAAAAAAAAACTTTATTAAAAAGGACTACAACATAAAACAAAGTTTGGGGACATAGTTGTGTAACATTGTGCTGTTGTTCTTAAAAAATTATGTTTCATTGAATAATGCAACATTGGAAAATGCTATTTGGCACTTAGAAAAAAAATTCAATTATTGCATACTTAATACAAAACATTGATGTATTTCTTTACTTTATGATTACATAGATGTCAGTAAATAATTTAATAATAATAATGCACGTGGAACTTTAGATAGCATATTGAAAGTTTTGTAGGTACTGGCATTTAAAAAAGAAAAAAAACCCACTCTAGCACATGTTCAGTCGTTTCTGCGCAGCATAGAACAGGAATGATGATAGTGTTATGCACTGATCCAGACTAGAGTAACCGAGTCATTATCAAAAAGTGATTGCACTAAGACGAGCCTTTGGCAGGAAAGAAAAAAATAACATAAGGCAGTAAGAGGTAAAATCATGCAGATGAATAGTTCCCATAAAACTTAAGGCACATGAAAAACAAAAGATCAATCAACTCTGCAACAGATAAAAAAATAATCAAATCAAAAGGCCTGCATTGAGGAGTGTTGTCGTTCATTTTTAACACTAAATATCTACACTAAAGAAAAGTAACTGACCTCTAATCAGTAACATTCAAGGTAAATAAGACAACTGCAAACTGGACTGCACAGAATCAGGAACTTAGACCAATAAACTCCATGGATAAAAAGCCTCTTTTTTCCCCCAATGGAGCGAGAGACTCGAAGCGGAATAAGTGACAAGTACTGTTATGACACAGCATCATCTGGCCGCTGGATAACAGGGACTAAAAATAAAAGGGTTTCTCTCGCTTTGAGCAGGACATCCATCTCCTCACATGGAGCCGCAGCAAAGATGCTCTCATGTTAGCAGCTGCAAAACCCAGAAGAATCTTCGGATCGATTATTTTACAGCAGCGATGGGATCCTGATTTTAGTTGGCACAAGTCGGTGGAAATGTACGGCTAAGAGCATGTGTGTAATACTTTCCATACATACTTTGTCTCATTTAAAGATAAAACTTAAGCGTATTTTAGGAATGTAAAAACTCCCAAAACAAATCTGAAAGGTACATGGTTTTTCCCCCTCTTAAAATAATATCCAGTAACACTAGCCTACCACATGTCGCCTAATTATTAAATAAGACTTTATCTGTGCATTATTTAATTTCTGTATACATCCAGCTGTTCTGCAAGGGCCTCAGAGGATTGATCAAAAATAGACTCTGTGTGCTTTGAATGCTCATATGTTTAAAGTGGGTAAAGAGTAAAGTCCTAAGAGAGCGACAGAGAGAGAAGTAAAAATAAAAAGCTAAAAGAATCACACAATGTAAGTTGATTGATTCAGCAATAGCATGACACCGAGCAGCCCTAAATGGAGGTTAACCTAAATGTGGGTCTGGATCATGTCTTTAAGATCTCATGTTGTGCTCTAGACCCCCCCACAGAGGCTACTAATAACTTTGACCAAGGATTTTACAAAACATAGTGTTTAAAAAAACGTCTGTGAGGAAGGTTTTCTTTTCCATTCAGCAAGGAGTAAAAAAAGGAATGTTTTAGATCAAAGCACAATCATGTGTTCAAATAGCCTATTCAAAGATCAGAAAAGAATCTACTCTCCAATAACCTATCCTGCAAGTTGAATTCTTCTGCATTAACAAACACAGTAGAGAATCCGTGTTCTCCTGGGTCGACCCTTCCAGACTGTCCTGAAAGAGGTCAGTCAATTGAGTTGTAGTATTATGGATTTAAGGCAGGACATATAGTAGCTGCGGCTTCAACTATTACATCAGAATCCACGCATTCATCTTTGATAGAGGAACCTCAAGAACATAAAAGCCTAAGTTGTTGTCATGCCGTCTGCTGCCATTTGTTACCATGATTGGCAAAAAACAATCTTTGCAACAGAAGAAAAGGAAATTATTTCAGTTTCCAGATGTGCAAAACTGGCAGATGTACCTAAAAATGTCTTGGAGCTGTAAACGCAGAATGGGAAAGCTGACTATGAAGGGTTTAATAAATATGCATGCAATACTTCTAAGATTGTTATTTTTAAATTATAAACTCAAAATCAAATCCTTTTCAGTGGTGCAATGCCTTGTGTTGCCTTAACACAGATCCAACCAGTAAAATATTTAAAGTCGTTGGTTGTAACGTGATCAAGTTTATGCTTTATAACACTCAAGAAGTTATTGCATTGATTCTAGTGATTACTTCTTACTTTTAATAATGCATCGACTTTTTTTTCTAATAATATAAAACTTAAAAGAAAGAAGGAAATAAAAAAACTGCATGAAAATGATCTGCAGAAACTGCTGTAGAAAACTGTCTGCATTTGGAAATCTGTGCATACTTTGTAGTGTGTTTTTATATATAGTTTTTGGGTGATAACTGTGGTAAAAAAAAAAAAAAGCTAATTTTGAGGTTTTTAAGTGCAGAACACCAAGTGTTTGATATTTGAAAAAAAAAATTACATACACATTATTGCATTATTATTTCATGCTAGAGAAGAATGGAAGACAGTCAATAAAGTTTTGCTTCTGTAGAAACAATAAGACTGTGTTTATCCAGCTACATCAAACTGTTTCATTCTGTTCTGTCTGGAAAGCTTAGGAAGAACATCGGGTCTAAAGGGAGTGACTGAACGGTTCACTGGCTCTGCAGCCACTGCACTCTCAGCTCCTCCACCTCCCTGCCGTACCAGTCGTGGAGTTTGGAGAAGCAGCCGGTGTCGGGAGAGACCGGGCTCTCAAGTGACGCACCCAACCTCCGCAGGGGGACTGGTGGAGCTCTCCCACCATCTGCCCCACATCCTGTGACGATCCCAGAGTCCGTGCTGCCATCCCAGGTCACGCAGGACGGCGCCGCCTCCCCAGATCCGTTAGCCGAGGCAGATGGAGGCTTGCTCCATGCCACTCCATTCTCCCTAGAATTCCCAGGGATGAGCTGCACCTCATCCTGAAGACTCTTCTGAGCAGAGTAAACAGCTGACATGGAAGGAGCGCTAGATGACGTAGAAAGGGAAGATGAAGACGACGAAGAGGAGGATGCGGCAGATTTGGATCGTGCCATCTGATTCCGCCGGGAAGGCTTCTGCCTGCCCTGCTGGCCTCCAGCTCCTGAAGCATCCTGAATCTCCTCCAGCTGCCTCTCCAGCTCCTTCACCACCAGCCTCATGTAGTCAAAGCTGGCCCTAGAGAGAGCTTTCACCCATGACTCCATGGCGACCTGGTTCTCTGCAGCCAGCTTGTACACCCTCGCCTTGGCGCAGTCGAACTTGATGGCGAAGGCGAACTCCTCCACGGACTCGCACAGCTCCACGGTGCAGCCCTCCAGTACGATCACACCGATCGGCTCTCTGCTGTCTCGCTCTTCAAAGTAGAAGAGCATGTTGCCCTTGAGAACGAACCAGCGACGGTGATATGCCGTGTTGCGCTCGCCCTTTTTGAACAGAAAGCCCGTCTTGTCTGGTGGCGAGTCACAGGTGGCGTAGTGCGCCACGCTGCGTTCGTTTAGCTTCATCTTCTACGCCCTACAGAACCTTCAATCACCTGAAAAAAGGACAGACATGAAATGTAACAACAGCTAATATCTATCATATACAGTGCATTGGTGTGGACACTTCCTCCAGCCTGGGCTAAGATTGTACCACGTCATCAAAAAAAATAAAAAATGAAGGAGAAGGAGCGCATGCTTCAGTAGTATTGCTGATAAACTGCAAAAAAAAAAACCACTAAATAACAATAATTTTAATATTTGAACTTTATTGATCTCCCATTGGAGAAATGTACCCCTGCATTTAACCCATCCCCTTAGAGAGCAGTCGGCTGTCATCGTGCGGAGCCTGGGGATCAGGGGTTGAGGGTTTTGCTCCGGAACCCATAGTGGAGGCTGTGGGGATCGAACCGGGTACTGCAGCCCTACTTGCTCTAACCCACTAGGCAGGGGGTCGGCAACCTGCGGCTCTTTAGTGTCCCCCATGCGGCTCCCTGTAGTTTTAAAAAAAATATTTTTTTCTTTTTTTTGTTTGTCTTAATATGGTGTGCAGGAGGTCAAACAAAATGAATTATGTTTTCCAATGCTGTAAACATTTGTATAATGTATAAATAAATGTAAACAATAATTTGCGTCATAGCCATAGAGATCAGTGGTCATAACTTGCAAACAAAGCTGCAGGTGTGTCTCAGACCATGGATCCCAAAGGGAAAAAAAGAATATGGCTGATAAGAAAAGAGGATTCAAAGAATGGACCGAATCATTTGATTTCATTATCAATGCGGAAGGATTGCCTGCATTTTTGCTTTGTAATGAGATGTTGTCAAAAAATAAAAAATAAAAATTGGAAAGGCATTTCCAGGGAAGGCTAAATATGAAGCCAATCACAAAAAGTTAAAAGTGAGGAAAAGAGTTTGCAGAACTCCTGGATAAATTACAGGAGCGCAAAGATTGCATCTCCAAACTCCACTACTGCTGCTAGTTTTGTTGCAAGGATGGAAAACCGTCCACACAAGTAGCTCTCTGATGCAGGTATGTGAACTTTCTTCCATTTTTCCCCCAAATCCTCAAAATATAAATAACACCAAGGAACGCTGGTGACGGAGGATGTCGGGTTTCAGGGTTAGAGAGCTCGGCTCTGATTGACGTTAGTTCCATATGACTAATTCAGCTCTTCTCAACAGAAACATGTCCACCATAGTAAGATTCCTTATTCTATAATTTCATCAATGTAACAAAACCTAAACCATGCAGTGAAGGGCGATGAGAGCGTTCACTGCTCCTCCCCCTTCTCATGCTACTATGTAACATTTGCACAGGATAAACATTTAATCATGAATGATTGTTATATATTTAAGCCCACATTGTCCATTTCTAAAGTGGGATAACACTTGGAGCCCGTGTTGCCATATGAGGCTTATATAAGACTTTTACATTTTTGCGGTTCCAGACAGACTTATTTTATTTTTTTTTTGGGTCCAATATGGCTCTTTGAGCAGTTTGGGTTGCCGACCCCTGGGTTAGGCCAACACTCCCCATGACTCCAAGATGTTTAAAGAGGTTGTTAATGACCAGTAAACTGTCTGAAACTGACCATGGAGGTGCAGAAACCTGCCATATTTCAATAGAGGAAACCTTCTGTCACAGATTATTTTTTTGCCATGCAACAGCAGGCAAAAACAAAACCTGCTAAATACAGGGTTGCCAACTTTTAACCAAACCTTGGGGCGAGATTTTAAAATAGTTTGGACATGAAACTCTGTCAGGGTTAGATGAGGATGGGTGCAGCTATAGGTTGGAGGTTTTCAGAGGATTTAACTGAAACAAAGCGGCAAAATATGAATTTTTTATAGCTGCGTAACAATAAGTGATCTGTAGTTACCTGGAACATTTTTCTGACAATATACATTATTTTCTACTTTCTGGTGATTTGTAGAGAACTAAAGTAAAGCAGAATGGATCCTACTAAAATACTTGCATCTTAAATATACTTTAAGAATTTCACAACTTTGTTCATTAATTATTCTCTGCAGTTCAAGTAAATTAAACAATGGGGAACTAATAAGTTATTACTGGATTACTGGCACTGATACAGGAACCAGTGCAATGGAAACCTATGCAAACTTTACTATGTATGAATATTTGGTAATAAGCTAACGAATAAAACGCTTCATTCATTATGTTATTAGTTACAATTAATCTTACAATTGACACAAACTCATCATGACAGGAGACAGCACTTCTCTGAATGTTTCATTTGGAAAGTGTGATGGTAATTGAGTTTTTAAACATATCCAATGGACCAAAATAAAGATAAATGAATAAGATAAGTAATAATAAAAGAACATTCCTGTGGTTTATCCTCTATGAATCCAGGATAAATGACTTTTTCTGCACATCCTCTCTGAATGTGGTTGATCTTTTTATGGGTGGCTGATCATTTGAAAAATAAAATGCAATCATTATTTTTCTTTTTGTGGACCTCCTATGGGTTTGAGAAGCAAACCTGGAAGCTTTAAGAATTAAAATATTTGTGTTGGTTTAATTACTCCTAAATGCCAACAGGAGATTATTAAACTAGACTAAGCACGAATTATTTAACTTGAGCAAAACATGGACTAAAACTGGGACTAAAAAAAGCACCAGGTAAAGAGAAAAACAAACCATTGGATGTGATCCTACACTCAGCCTCCACAGCAATAATATAAGCAAGCTGCTTTATTTTTTATTCATATTTACTCAAGTACTATACAAAATAACATAAATAAGTGGAACCGAGTCGAGTTTTAACGTCTGTCATCTTTTAGTGTGAGAAACTGGGATTATGGAGTGAGAGTGTGTGAAAACACTGAGATGAGAGTTCAATTCAATTTCAATTCAATTTATTTCTATAGCGCTAATTCACAACACATGTCATCTCAAGGCACTTTACAATTCACCAGATCATAAAGTCAAATTGATTCAAAGTTTTCTATCTAAGGAAAACCAGTTGATTGCATCGATTCGTTGACTCAAATGCAATCCCTCACACTAAGCATGCTTGTAGCGACAGTGGAGAGGAAAAACTCCCTTTTAACAGGAAGAAACCTCCAGCAGAACCAGGCTCGGTGTGAGCGGCCATCTGCCGAGGCCGACTTGGGTCGCCAGCCCTGTAAACAAACCCGTTTCTTCAACTTACAATTTAAGATGAAAATCTATTCTTGGTATTACTTCAACCAAAATTCCACACTAGTCTCCTCCCTCTTAAGATAAGATAGAAAAAGCATATTTTTACTTTCATTTCCTGGCAGTTAAAGCCCTGTTAAAAAAAAAAAAGCACCTTTAAATCCAAATGGTTTTATTTGACACTTCACATGCCCAGCAATAAACCAGATTTAGATATTTTTACGGAATAAACAACATCTAATCCAGCTTTTCTCCTTTTACTTCAGCCCTCATTATTATTTCTATTTTAATGTAAAGACAGCAATAAATGGATGATGGTAAATAGAGATTATTTCTTACGTGTTTGTCTCATGTCCAGATGACATCCACTCGCTGATCCAGTCACATCTGGCATCGATTCTCCACCTTTCATCCCGTCTCCTGAGGCGCAGAGCAGAGGACTGAATCAGGATGCAGTCTGACCAAAACAGGCGGTTTAAATGACTGGATGGGTTGGTTTTTTTTGTTGCACCTCTAGAGCTAAGGAGGGGGGGGGGGGGAGATGATTCAGCCCTCTGCTGTTGGGTCACAAGCTTTTGACGCATCAGCACTTTAGCAGAAACCTATTCCTGACAACTTATTCATGCAAGAAAACACGCAATAAACTTTTATTAACACCTTTTGCGAAAAGCCAGCCTCACTCCTCCGTGCCAACTAGCTAGAATTTAACGCTTCCTTTAGTAGAAAAAGAAGCATCCCCAGAGTTCATAACAGTACTTCCAACGTCTCAGGAGAACAAAGCGAGTACCTGCGGATGTGCTCTTCCAGGGTTTTCCTTCCGTAGATTGTTTTATTTCTAGTTCTTCATCGCCTTTCCATTTTTCCTCCCGTTTCTATGCTTCCCTGTCACGTGACCTATCAAAAAGACGCTTGTTGTTTTTACCGGGAGCGGCTGGCGTGGGCGGTTCCACTACCGCTCTGGTGAAGCGCCTTCATTCCCGGTTGAGCTGGAGAGCAAAATATGCACAACACGTCGTTGTCCTTGGAAATGTGTAGCTGCAAGATGCTGTCGAAGAAGCATGGACGGTTCTATACAGGGGGGCCAGCAGGGGCCAGGCGGGGCCCCTGGAGAACTTGTTCTGCCAGCTGTTAATGGTTCTTATTCTAATAATATACACCTGGGGTAACCAATTAAAAAATCAGCAGAATAAAGAAAATCATCAACCAGTAAAGGTCCGGAGACATTTTTTATTATCTGTTACTTTAAACAGAATTTAACACCAAAATAAAATTAGGTGTTTATGCATTCATGTTATACATTGAATTTTGAAATTAAAAAAATATAAAACAAAATTATAGAACATCAATCTTTCATTTTGGTATATAGACAATTTCCTGATTCACATTTTTTTTTCAAAACTCCTGAACAGACTTTTTTATTTATTTATTTATTTCTGTTCTAATGAGAGCAGTGGGCTTTAGGCTGCCCTGCAAGGCTTTAAACCTGGGTTTGAATGGAGAAAAAGCAATTCGCCAGCACATATCAAGGTGCTCATTTTGAGCTGCTTCACAGCAGCAGGTTGAGCCAAACATAAACAAATGTTCAGGCTCCACTCCGGTGCGGGCCAGGTCAAGGTCCTCTATTTCAAACGCACCAAACAGGAAAAAGAACGGCAAGAAGATCCGGTTTCTCAAATATAAATATTGTAACAACAGATCGGTAACTACCAATTAGACCATAATTCTTATATATTTCGAAAACACTAATGCCGTTTATTTAAAAGAATGGATGCAAACTATTGGCACTTCACCAGGAAGCATATTTCTCATCTTTCATATGCTGGATGCTGATCGGGATCCTTTAACCTGTCATATTAAACAAAGCGTTAATTTCTGCATGTTTTGATCCTACAAATTTAATCACAATATCGCGCATGCTCTCCTTGAGCTCCGAGGAGAAGTCTGAGCGCAGCAATACGGGAGGAACAGCGGAGGCTTTAGGCTTTGCTTTTGCACAGGCGGTCTGGAGCGCTGCGGGACGCAGAAGTAACGGAGGATGTTGGATGTTGGGGTAACAGGAGAAGCGGCACAAGTGACATTTAGACACTGTTGTCAGACAATATGAGGTAATTTCTAAATGTTTTAAATCAGATTGGGTCCGGATTAGCCATCAGGTGGGTCCAGATCCAGACCGCAGTCCCCTAATGTTTGGCCACTGATATACACTGATTTCAAAATTTAAATCTAAGTCATCTTTTTCTTCAAACTGAGTGTTTTTTCCCCTTTATTTAAGCATTTAAGTAAGAACATTTCCAAATAAAAGAAGATAATTTGTGTTTGAACTAGGGCTGGGCAATTACTTGCATTTGCATGATAGTCGCAATTTAATGAATCCCATTTTTAAATCACAGAAGCCCTTAATTTTGGTCACGTTACATTTAACAAGTGTAAGTAGCTAAATTTCCCACTCCAGCCTTTTGGGTTGGCGGTAATATTCTCAAAGTTGGTTTGCAACTACAGAGAAGGGAAGATAAAGATCCAGCTAGCATGCAGATTCATGCAAGCAGTAGAATTTAGCACTTTTTCACACAAAGGTTACAGTCAACAATGATTGTAGTTAGTGAAAAGAAATATAAATCTGAATATTGGTATTAAGTAATCGTAATTTTTACTTTTCGCTAAATCTTTCTGCCCTAGTTTTAAATAAGATAAATCAACTTCATTATGTTTTTTCAAGAGCATTGTATCTAATTATCTTATCATAAGGGTCAAAATACTCATTACTTTGGTAAATCATCTTATTTGCCTCTTTAAATTAAGGGCAAATACACTTACTTTAGAAAATAATTGCTTTTTTACTGCAGTATTTTGCACTATAATACTAAATCAATTTCTTATGACAATATGGCAGAAAACACAGCAACAAATCCATTGGACTGGTGTACGTATTTAGATAGGATTACAGTTTTTTATCTATTACATCAGGAGTCTGTAACCTTGTCTTTGTGGCTCACTTAATATATTAAACAATTTATAGGTACCCTATTTTATTTATCAAATATGTTTATTATTCTTTTTTTCTGTGCTTCCATAAAAAAAAAATAAATAATAATAATAATTACTGGCCACACCCTGGCGTGGCAACTGTTATAAACTTCAACTAGAAACACCACTCCTGAGAGGTATTTCAACATGTTAATATACTGCAGTCATCACAGCTGTAACTACAGTCTTTAGATAAAAACTCTGGATATAAAAGGTTGCCCCCCCCCTCTTCTTGGCAAAATATACCAGTTGATTGCATTAACTCATTGACTCAAAGGCAATCTATCACACTAAGCATGCTTGTAGCGACAGTGGAGAGGAAAAACTTCCTTTTAACTGGAAGGAACCTTCAGGAGAACCCAGCTCAGTGTGAGCGACCATCTGCCGAGGCCGACAAAGAGACAGAAGCAGAGATATGAAAGGCAATTGTAAAAGACGGTGCAGTCTAGGAAGCAGCCAGGAAGGCAAGCTCACAGCCAGGTCCCATGTCAGAGGATGAAGAGAGCACATCCAACCAGTCACAGTCAGAGAAACAGGACTACACTAAAATACAGGCCGATTTCGAACATCTATACACAAAAGTGTTGATGGCAGTAGCACAGCTGATATTTCTCTCTAGGATGGAGTCACAGCCAAACAAGAACAGACAAGACGACGCTTCAATGAGAAAAAGCAGAGAGAGCATAACGTTAGAGATTGAACTAATTCTGCAGAGTGGGAGAATAGAGATAGAATGAAGCAGAATGATGAAAAATGGGTCCCTGTGTCCTCCAGAGGCCTAAGCCTATAGCGGCATAACTATAGAGATAGCTCATAACCTGAGCCACTCTAACTATAAGCTTTATCAAGAAGGAAAGTTTTAAGCCTACCCTTAAAAGTAGACCGGGTGTCTGCCTCACTAAAACTGGTAGTTGGTTCCACAGGAGAGGATCCTGATAAATAAAAGATCTGCATCCCATTCTACTTGTAGAAATTCTAGAAATGACTAGTAAACCTGCAGATTGAGAGCGAAGTGCTCTTTTAGGAACATAAGGAACAATCACATCTCTGATATCAGATGAAGCTTGGCCATTTAAGGCTTATATGCGAGAAGGAGGATTTTAAATTCTATTCTTGATTTAACAGGAAGCCAATGAAGAGAAGCCAGGATAGGAGAAAACTACAGTTTGTGGACTACCTGATAGTAAAGAATTACAATAGTCCAGCCTTGAAGTAACAAATGCATGGACTAGTTTCTCAGCATCACCCCTGGACAGGATATTCCTAATTTTTGCAATATTGCACAGATGAAAGAAGGAAATTCTTGAAACCTCTTTGATATGGGATTTAAATGACAGGTCCTGATCAAAAATAACACTAACATTTTTTACTTTATTGTCTTAAATTAGTTTAATCCCATCCAGTTGAAGTAACCGACTGATCAGTTTCTTTTTCAAAGACTGGTCCAAAGACTAAACGACTAAACTTCTGTTTTGTCTGTATTCAGGAGCAGAAAATTAAGAGCCCTCCAGGTTTTTATTTCATGCCTGTAATCTATTAAATGGGTTACCTTCATCTTGGGTATATAGACAGATATAGCTGAGTATCATCAACATAACAGTAAAAATGAATCCCACGCTCTCTAATAATTCTACCGTTTGGGAGCATATATATGGTAAAGAGAATTGGTCCTAGCACTGATCCCTGTCGTACTCCACAGGTAACCCTTGAGCATGAGGAAGATTTGTCATTAACGTGAACAAACTTAAATCAATCAGATAGATACGATTTAAACTAGTCTAGTACTGTTCCTTTAATTCCTACATAACATTCAAACCTTTCTAAAAGAATATTATAATCAACTGTATCAACTGCAGGACTCAGATCTAACAGGACAAGTACAGATACAAGTCCATTATCTGAGGCCATGAGAATATCATTAGTGACTTTCACCAGAGCTGTTTCAGTGCTATGATGAGCTCTAAAGCCAGACTGAAACTCTCCGAATATTATTGTGTAAGTGCACACTTGTTTGGCAACTACTTTCTCAAGAATTTTAGATAAGAAAGGAAGATTGGATATAGGTCTATAATTGACCAAGCCATCTGGGTCAAGAGACAGTTTCTTAAGTAAAGGTTTAATTACAGCAACCTTAAAAGCCTTTGATGCATATCCCTGTAAAAGGGATAGATTAATCACATTTAAAATGGAGGACAAGATCAAAGTGAATACCTCCTTAAATAACCAGGCGGGAACTGGATCTAACATACAAGTTGAAGGCTTAGATGAAGACAATAGTTTTGCTAACTCTGAAAGTTCAACTGGATCAAAACAGTCTAAACCCGGTTCAGGCTGAAAGATTGTTGCTACCCCTCCTCCTAGCCCAGAATTTCTGGGTATGTGAATATTTAAATAACTAGAAGTTGCCTCATTTATGCTGACATAATCCTCTTGCTGCAGCCAAGTTTCTGTAAGGCAACATAAATCAAAGCGATTATAACTAATCTAGTCATTAAGAAACAGACTTTTTAAAGAAAGGGATCTTATGTTAAATAGACCACATTTAATCATTTAAACTTTTTCCTCAATTGGAGTTATTTTAATTTTAATTACATCATCATGATTTACTCCTTTGGGAATCTTTTCTAATTTATTAGATTTGTGTTGTGGGCAAGACACTGTCTGGATGAAGTAAAGAGTGGGTAGCAGTAGAGAAGCTGCAGAGAGCTGTGTTAAACTCCGACTCTGCTTCCTGGTCTGCACCCTGGGTTATCAGTTACCTAAGATAGTTGATGAAAGGCAGTGGTGAACATGTTTTTTGATTGATTCTAATCTGGACTTTTACAGGGTAATTCTCTCATGATGCTTAACTAACATGCCTTGATCTAAGGAGCTCTGGCTGTCCTACCGAAAAGAGAGCCACCGACTCCATCTCAAAGTATCTTCCATGATTTTCATGTAAACAGTTTCAACCATCAA